GGTCGGCCTGGTACCGAGGCCCGGCCGGGCAGGGATCGCCGAGGAGCGCGGGAACCCGGGGTCGGGAGGCGGGCCCCCGCACATCCGCTCCCGTGTCCGACGCGGCGCTGCCGAGTGCGTTTTTGTGCCATCCTGCCCAAGCAGGCCCTGCACCCGGGCGGGCGGGCGAGTGCGCGCAGAGGAGTTCTCCGTGGCCTGGAGCCCTGGTGGCGCAGTGGTTAAGAGCTGGCTGCTAACCGGAAGGTCGGCAGTTCGAATCCACCAGCCACTCCTTGGAAACCCTATGGGGCAGTTCTACTCTGTCCTGTACGGTCGCTCTGAGTCGGAATCGACTCGATTGCAAAGGGTTTGGTTTGGATTTTTGGTTTTGGGACCGAGGGCACAGGCTTTCACCGCCCGTTGGTCGTGAGTTTGCAGGCTGCTGAACACTGTGCTGAAAAAAGCCCCTGCAGCTGTAGCCCTGTCTGCTTCGGTTGTGCTGTTTAATTCTGCGCGAACTGACCGAGAAGGACGTGCAGGCAGTGGACGTCCACGCGGCGGTGAAGGAACCTCTATGCAGTAAAGGAATCAGCTTGTGCCGCGGGAGTAGTGCATTCCCGAAAGCTTGAAGTTGATTCCCCAAACCGTTTGTTTCCTTTTTGGCGGAACCGCTTTGCCCCGTTTTGCTTTCCTTGGGTACCTACTGTCCGCCAGGCACTGTGCCAGATGTTGGGGCTATGGAAATAAAAGATCATTTTGCCCCCTGCAGACAACTCAGTTTAGCGGGGGAGGACTGGCAAGTGAGCAGACAACTACCGGAGCATGGTAAGTTTTAGGGCAGAGGCTCTGGAGAACAAAGGAGAAAGATACTCATCTGACTGGAAGTCTAGGAAGGCTTCCCAGAGGAAGTGACCCCCGAGCTACATCTGGAAGGAGGAGAAGCAGCAGGAGGAGAGGTCGCTCCAGTGCTGGCTAAGCTTGAGTACGTGGGAATCGCCCGCTGAGGGAGGACCAGCTGGACCTTAGGGAGTGAGGTGGACTGTGACCAAGGCCAGGTCCTTATGAGCCTTATATGCCCTTCCAAGGAGTTTGGATTTTGTCCCCAAGGCAGTTGAGAGCCGCTGAAAGATTGTAAGAGGGGGTGGTTTCATGCAATGTGCTGTATGAGCCACCTAGAGAGGAGACCAGAGGAGGAGCAAGAGGGGAGTCGGGAGGGTGGTCCTCGCCCCAGGGGATGTGAGGGCTTGACGTGGTGATAGTGGAGAAGGAGAGGCAAAGTCAGGTATTCAGTAAGCGGAATGGATGTGGCTGGGACATCATGACTGTTCTATGAGGTAAAGCAGGAGGGAGGGGTCGAGGGCCCTGGCTTGGTGGCCACCATGAACATTGGGTGTTTTAGTCAATTTAGGGACTGTGGGGAGGAAAGTGTGAGTGAGGGAAGCAGAATCATGACCAGCACTCATAGATGGCATACCACGTGCCAGGGTCTGTGTGATGTGTTACTCTATTTCATTTAATTTGTACAACACACTTCTGCATCCATAATGCCCTGTTTTATAGTTGAGAAACTGAGGCCCAATTCAATTAACATGCCCAAGGCCACACAGCCAAGTGACTTCCATCTGGGACCTGTGGAGTCTGACCTGCCCCTGGGGCACATAATTGAGCATGTCTGGGAGACAGCTGGATAAACAAATGTGGAGTCAGGAGAGATGGCGGAGTGGAGATGGGGATCTGGGAGTCAGCCCACAGCCAGTGGTTGAAATAGACAAGGGAAAAAAGACTGGTTAAGTGAAAACCTGTGGGGGCAGGTATGTTGTAAGGGGTGAGAAGTTGGAGTAAGAGAAGACAGAGAAAACGCCTGAGAAGCAGTCAGACTGTCCAGAGCAGAGGGTCGATGCCCAGCAAGATAAGGATTGGAAAGTGCCTGAGGGCTTCAGCATCTAGGAGCTCGTGGGAATACTGGCAGGAGTGGTGGGGGCAGAAGAGAGGGAGGGTGGTGGGAGACACTTTATAGAAACTTGACTTGAAGGCCAGTTGTGAGGACACCAGGAAGAAGCTACAGGATGAAGCAAGAATGTTAGCTTGTTTCTTTTATGAGGGAAACAGACACTATTTGTTGAAGGAACACACAAAATAGACCCCAGATGTTCCTATCCACCCACCATCTACTTCATATCCCTACCCTTTTATCTGTCCGCTGAACTACCGCCATGGTTTCCAAACCGGTTTTACTTCTGTGAATTGTCATCCACAAGACTGCTGAGAGCGCTTTAGAAAATGCGGATGTTAGCACATCTCTTGTCTTCCCACTCCTTGGCTTTTCTGGATATTGTCTACCGCATTCTGTCCAAGGTCCCCACCCGGTGTTTCCAGCCTCATTTTCCCCTAGGCCCCTCTCCGAGTTTGCTAGTGCTGCTCTAAGAGAAACATCACAAGTGAGTATCTTTGAAGAGCAAATATTTTCTCACAATTCAGGCTAGAAATCAGAATTCAGGGCACCAGCTCTTGCAGGAGACTTGGCTGTAGGGGAAGATCCTTGTCTCTTTCAGCTTCTGTAGCCCGTGTTCCTTGGTGAGCTTCTTGTGGCATCTATCTTCCCCCGTTTGTGCTTGCCCTTGTGTTTGATCTGCTCTTTTTATAACTCAGGAATGATTAAGTTTAGGACACAGCCTACAGTGATATGTCCTCATTAACATAACAAAACCCTATTCTCAATGGGACTACATCCACAGTATAGGGTTAGGATTCCAACACACATTTTGTGGGGAGGACGCAGTTCAGTCCATACAGCCCCTTTTGCCTGCAAGGGCACACCCCCAAGTACTGCCCTTCCCTGAACACATCTAGGAATTGACTTGGCTGGGCCTTTGTCCTCCCTGCTCCTCGAGATGGACAGGCCCACTTATCATCAAGGTGATGTTCAAACATTGCATCTCTCATTCACCAGTCATTTATTTAGCACCGACTTTGGGCCAGGCACTGTGCTAAAAAGTTTCCACCCTCCCCTCCCTGCCAGACTCAACATCTTCAGCCATATGCTTCTGTGACCCTGTGTCTTAGGCTGGATTCTCTAGAGAAGCAAAACCAGTGAAGCATACACACACACACACACACACACACACACACACACAGAGAGAGAGAGAGAGATTTATCTCAAGGAAATGGCCACACACACACACACACACACACACACACACACACACACACACACAGAGAGAGAGAGAGAGAGAGATTTATCTCAAGGAAATGGCTCACGCGGACATAGAGGCTGCCAAGTCTCAAGTCTGTGGGTCAGGCTTGAGGCTGGAGGCTTCTGACTCACATGGCTGTAAGAGCTGACGAATTCCAAGACTGGCAGGTTAGAGGGCAGGCTGCTGGCCGATGGGCTGCAGAGGCTGATGAATTCCAAGATCGGCAGGTAAGATGGCAGGCCGCTGGTTCATGGGCTGTAGAGGCTAATGAATCCAAAGATGGGTAGGCAATACAGCAGGCTGCTGGCTCAAGTGCCAAGAACTGGAGGCCAGATGATGATGAGCCAAATGCAGGATCCAGAGCAAGTGAGCTTTGCCAGAACATCTGTATATTTATTGGATGAAGGCCATACCCCCAAGGAAACTCCCTTTTCAACTGATTGACTGCTCACGTCAAATCACGTAATGGGCAATGACTACATCAGCTCACAAAATGAGGGATGATTACATCATTACATAACTGCCAAACCACTGAGATTCACGGCCCATCCAAGTTGATGCACAACCTCAATGGTCACACCCTGCTATAGCCGTTCTTACCTTATATTGCTGTTGTCACCTCCACCCTTCCTCTAGCTGTTTCTGTGAACACTGGTAGAACTTAAAAATGGACCCACAAAGCCTAATGGGACCCCTCTCTCCCCAACTCATACAAGTAATCTTCTCTGAGTCAGAGAAATGGATTTGGTGAAGGAA